GGGGCCGCCGCCGCCTCGCCCCCGGGCACCATGGAGCTGTCGCCGTCGTCCGGAGGAGCCGCGGAGGCGCTGTCCTGGCCGGAGATGTTCCCGGCGCTGGAGTCGGACTCGCCGCTGCCGCCGGAGGAGCTGGACGCGGTGGTCCCGGTCAGCGGGGCCGTGGCCGGTGGCATGTTGGACCGGATCCTCCTGGAGTCCGTGTGCCAGCAGCAGAGCTGGCTCCGCGTGTACGGTAAGGACCGCGGCTGTCCCGGCGGCTGGCGTTTCCTCTCTGCTTGGGCTGAGATCCGTTCCCTAGGCGCGACCCCGCTCCCTTCCGCGCCCCGGTCCGTCCCGGGTCAGCGTCCCGCACCCCTTTTTGTTCTGGGGTGCGTGTCTAGCAAGTTTCTTCAGGCTAGCACCTGGGTAGACGTGACTCCGTAAGGTCTTTGCATCTCTCCAGGCACCTGCAGTCAGTTTAAGGTGGAGTTGAGCAGAGTTTTAGGTGATCACTTCAAGGGACCTGCCAAGCAGACTTCAGGAAGGTGTGATGAAGACTCTGAAGCCAAGTCTTCATCTCTTTCTCTGGTTGAGTGAGGCGGGGCTGGAAAGCAAGGTATTATGAGCAAGCTTAGTGGAGGATAAGCTAATGAATGAAAAAACAAACGAACAAACCCAATGTATTATTGTTTGTTTTGTGTGATGGGAGCAGACTGATCTATAACTTCCTCCTGAACCTCACTCACCAAAAGCAACCACTTATTCCAGCGGGTGTGCGTTGTTTCAGATTGTACTATTGTTTCTGGTTCTCATTGTAAAGTGACTGGGTTTTTCTCATTGTAAAACTCAGCAGGTTAAAAGTGATGAACACACGAAAACTTTCCCTTTCTGCATTCCCAGTAACCACCTCTTTAATTAAAACTGAATGATGAAATTCTGTTAGGGTGAGCCTTGTGGCGGCATTAAAGCCGTGCTGGTTTTGAAAACTCCTCGCCCAAGGATTTATAGCCTGGCATTCAGGACTGAGCTGTGGTTTTACCAAATATTAAACGTCAGTTTAACGTGGAGATGTTTATCTCTTGGCTCACGTGACTAAAAAGACATTAATGGTGTGGCTGAGTAGAAGATGACAAATTTAAAGCACCTGATATCAAACACAATATTAAGATGTTATTCTGCAGTCATATGCATCGAAGCCTGTAGTGATCAGTGCATTGTTTTTGCTTTTGTTTTTCTTTCATTCTTCTGAACAGCATATATACTTACTATTCAGGAGTGACCAAGACTTAGAAGTTGTCTTTCTGGATAGCGCAGCTGGTTTCAAGACTTCATGTCCATCATTGTCAGAAAGATCACAGAACTAGGAGTCCAGAGATCTGGGTTCTTGCCTCAGTTCTCCTACTAAGTGGCTATGTGATTTGGGCAGATCAAATCACATTTTTGGCCTCCGAGTCTTCATCTGTGAAGTGAGTGGATTGGATTAAATCATCTCTAATGGCCCTTTCAATCATAAAAATTCAACCATTATTCTTATAACCAGTTCTTCTTAAGGATTGTGTATTCATCACTTTTTTTTTCTGGGTTTTTAAAAAGTCTTTCTTGATGTTATTTTATTTAACTGAAAGACTTAAAGGAGCGGGAGATAATGCAAGGTCACCCAGTTCGTTCTCAGCAAATTAGATTAAAAACTTGGGTGCCTGATTTTCCATCTGCCTGCTAATCCTACTTAGCTGATCGCTTATAACAGAAGTTGTTGAGAATCTGAAAGTGCATATGAATTAGAGTATATTGTGATACCTTTTTTCCCATCTGTCTTCCTCTCCTTACTGTTCAGAATGCTGGGTTTTCTAGACCTAGTGTTAACTATGGTTTTTTGCATGAAAAGACATAAATATGCCTATAGATATATGTTGTTTCTGTAGTCTGTTCCTAGGACTTGGTTTATAAAATATACATATTGGTGTACACACACAGACACACACACATCTAATGTGTGTGTTAAAGAAATCCAGAAATTGGGAACCTAGGGTATACAAATGGGAGTTGAGAACCTATGTTTTCATTTTGGCATTGCCACAAATTGGTTGTCTAGCTTTAGGCAAATAGTTTTTACTCCCTGGCTGTAGGTCTCTGTTTAAAATGTGGAATCTGTAGTAATTGGTATTTATACACATACATACATGCTGTGCATTTCTTGACAAGTTGCAGACTTTCTACTACATTGTAACTTTTTTAGTTTTCCTTATCAGTTAACCAGAAGTTTTTGTTTGTTTGTTTGTTTGTTTTTGAGTTGGAGTCTCACTCTGTCACCCAGACTGG